TCGGGGAGGGGAGAAGGGCTGGGGATTGAGTTAATCATCAATGGCCAACGATTTAATCAATCTTGCCTGTGTAACGGAACCTCCAAAAAAACCCTAAATGAAGGGGTTCAGAGAACTTCCAGGCTGGTGAACACATGGAGGTGCTGGGAGGGTGACATGCCCGGAGAAGGCATGGAAGCTCCAAGTACTTTCCCTGAAAACTTGCCTCATGCATCTCTTTCATTTGGCTTATCCTGAGTTGTATCTTTTATAATAATCTGGTAATAAGCTGTGGAAACAGGTCTTGCATCTGTGTAATGGCTCACAGCCCTGGTTAATGTGTCTTTCTCGAGTTGTGTCACCAATTGAAGGTTTTTTTGAGAGTTTTGCCTGTGCCTTAATTCTAGTGGAATGTCCACCTTATGGGTGATGACTTGGGTCCAAGTTCAACTGATAAGAATACTGCACTTAAACACATCTCACGTTCTGACACTGACATGAGCTTGAACAGTTTTCTCTTTGGTTCAGAAGGAACGCATTTCAGATCCTTGCAGGCCCTCCTCAAGGCATATCTTGAATGCGTATCATTAACTAGTGTTCTGATTATGAATATAAGCTATGAGTTGATGAATATAAATTACGAATAGCAATAATTATTGCTTGGATTATTGTTATTCTGATGATTTTGGTTTGCAGAGTTGTTAGTAAAGAGAAGTTTGATACAAATTAAAGGGATTATTTTCTTCCAAATACTTCCTACACAAACTCTGGCCCAGCCTGTCTGGTTTACTCATCTATGAAACACTGAGCGTCTCCCCTTTACTGGTCCTTTGCATTGGTTACTAGAATAAAACTAGTACCTATGAGATGCTTTGGAGTTTATAAAGATTTTACATGTGTCACAGAGATACAGCAGACTGGCTAAAAGATGGTCTCAAGTCAGACAAACCTGGATTTGAATTGCCACTTATGGTTATGTGACCTTAGATAAATTAGTTAATCTCTGTTTTTCAATTTCTGTAGTAACAGTACCTACCTATGGGAGTTAGTGTGAACGTTAAGCAAGATGATGCCCGGAAAGCACAAGCACAGGGCTTGGTAAACAGCAGGCTCTCAATTGAAACAAATAACACACAACCTCAGTGTAGGTGGCAGTTAATACTAACACAATCTTGATGTAGTCAGCTAAGCGGTGAGCGACTGGCCCATGCTCACACAATCAGCAAAGAACAGAGGCAGGACTGGAACCCAGACTGATTCCTTTACAGCACATAGAAGGCTGACTTTATTTGGTAGACACACACACACAGGTACATCAGCATAACAAATGGGAAATGCTTTCTATACTGTTTAGTAACACCCTTGTCCCCCAGACCAGCGTGTCAAAATTTTAAAAATTTCCCAAGCTTATGATTAAAAATAGAGGACTGGTTCTGCTGGCATGACAGAGATAAATTATTATTCTGGCCACAGCTCCTTCATCTGCAAGATGGGGCTAATGAAACTGCCTACTAGTTAACATAAGGATTAATTACATCTTTGCAATATGCTTTGAATGACGCCGCTTACGTGGCAGGCATCCCACTGGGATAGTGTTCCTATATGACTGCTGTGACTGAACGATATCTGAGTCATCAGCCCCCTGTCTGTCGGCGTCACTCAGCAGAGCAGCGCCAAGCTTCAGCACCAAGCAATATTGTGCTCTTAACTGTTGGTCTCCCTCCAATTTTTTTAAGTCCTTTTTTTCTGAAAGAGTAGGAAATATATTTCAATTATAGCAGGAAAGACATAATTAAGGTCATCTTTTCTCTTTCTCAATCCTTTTGAAGCTTTTGACATTCAGCCCATTTCTTTCTGAACAAACCTTTCTAACACTTTAAAAATAATCTTAAACACAAGCACATAATATAGTTGGGACAAAATTTAAAAGGGGCAAAAGGATATGCAATAAAATTCCTCATCTCACTCTTGTCTCCCAGTCTCTGAGTTTCCCTTTCCAGAAGTAACCAATGTTTCAAGAAAATAGTGTGTGTATATTTGGGTGTGTGCCTTCTGTACAATACAACCGTGTAAGAGCATAGTGTGTACATTGTACTGTAACTCTTGTATTCTTAATGCTGTATGTTATTAGAGATCATTCCATTTTGGGGTATACCAAGTTATCTTTTTCTAATAAAGGTTGCCTAGTGTTCGATTGTATGGGTAAACCATAGCTTATTTAATCAGTTTCTTACTGATGGATATTCAGCTGTTTCCAATCTTTTGCCATTTCAAAAAATGCAGCAATGACTATCCTTGCACATTTAAAAGAAACGTTGGAGTCTATCTAAAGCTTAAATTCCTAAAAATGCATTTAAATATTGCCAAATTGCTTGCCAGAGAGGCTGTACCAGTACCAATGTATATTCTCATCAATAATTCATGAGATTGCCTATTTCCCCCATACCTCCACATTTTTCCTAGAACTTAGCCTGGTATCATTACCTGCATGTTTTAAAATGACTCGTGTTGATGACAGTAACCCAGGAACTTCCTTACAAGCTAAGTGATTAAATTCTAGAGCAAGCTATCTGGGAGCATTGGGGAAGTCCTCTATTTTAGATAGCTAAGAATATACTACCTTTGTGTTTTATGCACAGACTAGTTTATCACTATTTATCACAATAGACAGGGATTTTATAAAGAGAAACAGGAAAATCCTGAGTGTCCATCTAGTCTGATGGTTCCCAAAGAATGGTCTGAAGACAGCTTGCATCAGAATCCCAGGATAGGAGGGGGAAGGGCTCTTGAGAATGCAGATCTCTAGGGCCACCCCAGACTTAGGAAACTGGAAATCTCTGAGGGATGAGCCAAGTTCTCACTGGTGACCCTTATATCCACTCTCATTTGGAAACGCTGCTCTATCCTTAAGGTAGGACAATTGGACGGCAGACAAGCACTCTTACTCATTAACTCGTTCAGATTACACAGGTGATACATTTTTATTGTAAAACATTTCAGAAAGAGAAATAAGCCAAAAGAGAATAGTAATACCATTGATACTGCTTCAAGCACTAGATATGAACTTATGGAAATCTTCACAACAATCCTATGAATTCAGTACTATTACCCTCCTCTCTCCCATTTTACAGATGAAGAAACTGAGGCACAGAGGTTATTTTTACAACATGATATTTCTATAAGTGGTGTAACCACAATTTAAACTTTAGTGCTTCTAGATTCTGAAGCTGAATCCCAGAGGGCGCACTCTGTGAATTCTGGAGCACGATCCAGCAATAAGTACGGCCGAAGGTTGGGTGTATGTTGTTTTTGTTCTTGTTTTTTCCTCATGCATCTTTACTTATGATTTCATCAGAGAAAACTTCCTTAGCCCTCCGCCTAAGCTAGATAACCTATTTTCTCTCATTGTACCTTGGGTAGTGGGTCCAAGAAAATGAGGGGGAGATGCAGAGAAGGAACCTCAGGCAATATCTCCAAATGGTATGTTATTTCTACAACGTTCTAGCTTTTATTTTACATCAAAATTATCTTCTTATAAGGTTGTACCAATTTATGTTCCCGTCAACTTCAGAGGAGTGAGGACTTTCTTCACATATTTGCCATGCTTGATATCCATTAGCTCCCCAAGTGTTGTATACTCTCATTAGACTGTGGAATATTTAGAGCCTTTTTATTCTGTAGAAACTATTTTGTTAATTAACATCAACGACATGGTGTTGAGAAATGTTCTCTTAAATAGACTGTTGGAAACTTTGTTGTTTGAAATCATATTAGCGTCCCATACTTGCCTGAAGGATCTGAAACGTACAGGTCATTTTGATACAGGATTTTCACTCCAGGTGCAAAGCTTCAGATAAGGAGTTTTCAGACCCAACATTCCACATTTATCTTAACTTTGAGATTTCCAAGCAAAGAGGACCTTGGGTCTGGTTCTCAGCTCAGGCCTAGGCCTGATGTTAATCAACCCTTTTGCACACAGCCCTGGTTTGCTTTGAGCCTATCAAAACACTGCTTCATTTAAATTTTACCAAAACTCCATCTTCCCTCATAATCCAATAATGACCCTATTCTTTTCTGTTGGGTGAGATGCTCCAGGTTCCTCTGGAGTACAATCTCCCTTGCTGCAGCAAGTTCATAAATCTAACTGCGGACTACAGGTGTGTTCCTAGTGGTCTTTATTGGATGGCTTAATTAGTTTGAAACTGTAGCACCTACGTCTGAAAACAACAGGAAAAGTTCTACTTTTTTTTTTTTACAGATTCTTTTAAAAACAAGATGGATTCTCGTCGACTTGTAATTTAAGTCCTACCTGGTGAATTAGATTAATAGTCAAGATCATTTTGCTATATCACATGCTTTCAGTTCCTCTAACATTCCAAGCTAGTTGGGGTAGACTCCACCAATCTTTGCTAGGGGCTCAGCTCAAACGTTACCTCCTGTGAGAAGTTCTCTCTGATCATTCTCATCTAAAGCAGCCATCTCTCCCTCCACTCCCACCCCGTCAACCTATTTTATCTTTATTTTTCTCATCACTCTCTGAAATTATCTTATTCAATTGTTTGTTTATGACCTGTCTATGCCCATTAGAATCTAAGCTCCAGGAGAGAAGGTACCACGATAGCTCTGATAGCCGCAGCACCCTACCTGGCACTTAGCAAAGCCCTCACAAATATCTTCCGAATGAATGAACATACGAGGAACTACATACCGTTTGTTCCTCTTTCCCCTTTAAACACCCTCCAAGTGGACTCACCTGGGTTACACTTCGGCGTGAACTCGGTGGAGGGCGTTCAGCCTCGCCATTGGCTGGAGTATTGCCGTTGCTTCTGGCAACCACTGTTTCCCACCAGTCGTGTCGCCCCCCGCCTGGCCCCGCCCCTCATCACCCCGCCCCCAGGACCGCCGAGCCTCGGCCCAGGTGTAAAAAACGGTGCTGGCCCTTTAAGCGGCGGGACGTCTAGTCGACGTCGTCCGCGGCCGCCGGAAGGGGAAGTTTCGCGGCCGAACGCTCCCTCGCTGGTCCGAATTCGGTGGCGCCACGTCCGCCGGTCTCCGCCTTCTGCACGGCGGCTTGGGCGGCTTCCGCGTCGACACCTTCCACTCGCGGAGCCGGCCGCGTCGTGAGGGGGCCGGGACGGGGAGTCGGGCGGCTGTGCGCATCCTGGCCACCTAAAAGGCGAAGATGTCGGACATCGGGGACTGGTTCAGGAGCATCCCGGCCATCACGCGCTATTGGTTCGCCGCCACCGTCGCGGTGCCCTTGGTGGGCAAACTCGGTCTCATCAGCCCGACCTACCTCATCCTCTCGCCCGAAGCCTTCCTCTATCGCTTCCAGGTAACTGCGCTGACCAGCGACGGGGGCAGTGGAGACTACAGGTCCCACGCGCCCCCGCGGCGGCGGAGCCTGGACCGGCATGTTGGGGGCGCGCGGTGCTTTGTGGGATTTGTAGTGCGGTGGCTCCACCGGTTTAGGGCGGGGTCCTGTGGTCGAGGGCGAGGTGGAGGCCAAGGGGTCTGGAGCGAGGGCCTGGGCAGCTGGAGACGTGGAGATCTGGGTTTGGCCCGGTGGAAAGGGACTGATTTCACCCTTCTGTTAAGATTGTGCTCCCCGTCCCCTGCGCTTAGAGAAGGCGACAGTGGGAAGGTAAGTCTGCGATAGTTGTCTGTCTGTTGGACGCTGGTGGTTAACAGCCTGGGTCCACCAGGAGCAAGTGCTCTCTGACCTCCCTCTGTCACCCACGTCGGTGGCATGTAGATGTCAACTTGCCCAATATCCCGCTGAGTTCTTCCTATGCTAATGGAAGGGTTTTTTCCCCTATAGGAGTGATTTGAGGTCAGAGGTGCAAAGAGTGAGTTTATTTGTCTGCATTTCCCCCAGGCCCTGACCTAGTATCTGGCATTGTAGTAGTTGAGTGTACGAAGGAATAAGTAAAGAGTAAATTGCTCCAGAAATGGAAGGCCTTGTTAATTTTTTAAGCGTGAGGAAACAGTCCAGAGTAACATTCCTGGCAAAAGAATATTAGTTTCTTGGAGGTTATCTTTATTCACTGGATTCTGTGATTTAAATCTTTAACCAGTGGCAGGTTAGATACTAAGATCTGACATTAATTTCAACAAATTTCTTGGCCTGTGGATAACCCTCTCCTTTCTTCCTCCTCTTCACTGGCTATGTCTTAGTTTTCTTTGCCGGTTCCTCATGTTCGTGACTCTTCAATGTTGTGATGTGCCCCAGGGGTCAGTGATAGGACCTGTTCTGTACTCTCTCCCCAGGTGCAGTGATCTCAGTTAGCTTCATGGCTTTAAATACTTTCTATAAACTGAAGGCTCTCAAGTGCAAATGTACATATTTGCAGTTCAGATCTATCTCCTGATTTCCAGATTTGTAAATACCAGTTGGGTGACTAATAGGTGCCTCAAACGTAGTGTCCCAAACCGAATATCCTTGTCCTAAATAGCAACTCCATTATTTCAGGAGCTCAAGCTAATAGTAATGGAGTCATCCTTGACTTCCCTTTCCCTCACACTCCAGTCTGGCAGCAGTCTGTTTACTGTGCTTTAGAAATATGTCCAGAATATAGTCCCTTTTCATTTTCAATTGCAAGCCATTATTATTCCAGCCTTGGTCCTTTCGATATTATCTCTAGACAGCTGGAGTGATCCTTTTAAAACATAAATCAAGTCCTGTCAGTCCTCTGCCCAGAACCTTTCAGTGTCTTCTCAACTCGATGAATAAAATCCAGTCCTTTCAGTGACCTGCAAGGCCCTCTGCTGCCCCTCTGACCTCATCTTCTGCTGCTCTCCACCTTGTATGTTAGGTTCCACAGTGGAATCTTTGCTGTTCCTTCAGCAGCTAACTCAGTCTCTGCTCAGGGCATCTGCACCTGTTTCTCTGCTTGAGGAAGATAACCATGGTTGACCTCCTTACCTGTCTCAAGTCTCTGCCCAAATGCCACCTTAATGGCCACGCCACCAATCGCCCTACATAAAATAGTACCCCTCCTTCACTCCGTCTTGCTTCCCCTTAATTTTTCCTGCTACATATCACCCTTTGGTATTTCTTAGTCCGCTTCCCTTCAGAAAATAAGACTCCATAATAACCAGATCTTTGTCTTGTTTACCACCATCTTTGTTACCTAGAATACTGCCTGGCACATAGCGGGTGCTTATATATTGGTTGAATGTGTGGAAATAATTGGGTACTTGCTAGTGCTGGGCACTGGAGATATAGTAGTGAATAGGACAGAAAAAGCCACAGCTCCCACGAAGAAAATAAGAGAAAGGCACGGGATAGTGAGTGACTTCAGGATGTAACATTGGAGAGACTGGGCCAGCAAGGTGTCAGAGAAGATGTCTGGACTGAAATCTGAATGATGAGCTAGCTTTGGGAAGGTCTGGCTCTGGGGACAACCTTCCGGGAAGAAGGAGCAGTCAGTGAAAGGCTCAGAGACAGGTGCTAGAAACAGAAGGAAGACTGGATTGTCAAGAGTCAGCCGTGGGGATGATGATTGGTAGATGAGGACAGAGATAGCCAGTGCTGAGTACAATAAAACGAAGATGGACAGGGAGGCCGGGGCTGGAGCTTCTGGGGCTTTGTGGTTTGAACTTTCCTGTGAAGACGCCAGGAAGACTTTGGAGCCTTTTGAACAAAGGACCGACAAGATCGCCTTGACTATGATGTGGGATGGTCTTGGTCTCTGGGGTCGGGGAGAGGGAAGAATCAAGTTAAGAGGCGGGAGAGATGGTCTTTTGGACCAGGGCGGCTGTGAAGACAGAGAAGAGTGGATAGATTTGGGAGCTGGAGTGGACAAGATTGCAGCTGAATGGATCGGAAGGGTGAGTGGGTGAAGGAAGGAGGACTCAGCTGTCACTGTTTGCACGGTGCGTCAGGGAGCCCTTCGCTGAGACTGGAAATGTTTAGGAGGCTTAGGTTGGGGTCGGGGAGGATATGGATTTGAGAGTTATGTTTTGTCCACGTTAAGTCTAGAGACGCTTCTTAGGCATCCAAGTGGAGAAGTGGACAGTCGGATATTAGAATAGGATTTGGGCCTGCAGCCAGATTTGCATACTGTTTTCTGTTTCTTTGCTTTGGTAAATATTTGTTGACTGAGTGAATGTTGTACACTTTGTGCCTGGTGGCATGTTGGGTAATGTGCATGCATGCAGAGCAGTCGTTGTAAATCAGTTTGTGAGGAGGACCTGCTCCAAACTGGCTCTTTCACCCTTCTTGCAAAATCTTGCTCACTTCTGTAGTCAGATTAGTAAAATAAGAAAGCTTTTCTAATAGACTACAGGTGTATGTTAAAAAGGGGTGACCGGATTAGAGTCATTGTTTGCGTCATGCCTTTCGTGGTTTTCCCATCTTCCTTACGTTGTTTCTTGAGGGCTTGTTATCCTGAGACTGGGGAGAAGTTGCTGGAGGCAGGACGGTGCACTGACTGCCCAGATGTGAAAAGGCCAGTATCTGCTATGCCTTCTTTTTGCTACTCGACCCCTACGCCTTCCGGACAAGTATAGCTTTCAGACCCACCTGGAGGAACTTGTATGCAAATGAAGCAGTTGAAAGAAAACCTCCATCTTTGAGGCTGATGTGCGAGACGACAGCTTGTGGTGTGTTTTCTGCTGGAGGCTTCTCTTTCCCTTAGAAGCTGGATCTTTACCAGCTTAAAAAATTGGGGATGATTGATTTGGAATTGTGGATTCATGTTGGAAGTGACAGAAGTTACTTTTCCTCCATATCTGTCAATTCTCTGAGTAGCTTGTTGGTTTGGAACTCTGAAGTTTAAAATGTTATTTTCTTGGTTTGGATAGGTGGAAACATAGGCGTGTGTTAAGATTTACTATCCTGTTGTCCACAGTTCCTAGTCGCTCACGTCTAGCACGCATCAATCAAATAGTTGACAGTGATGAAATGTGATCATATTGGTCCCTGATTAACTAGAAGAGGGGGCAATTTCCTGTTGCCCGGCTGGTTTCTGAGATTATGTCTCCCAGGGCTGCCTGCATGGAGATATTTCATTTCTTTGGACAAAATAACATCTCCGCCTTATATCTGTACTGTGCTTCTCCATATGTTGTTGCATTCAGCTCCCACAATCATCCTGAGATAAGTGTTACCCCAGTTTATAGACAACTGTAGTTTCAGTTTCTATTTTGGTGAGTCGAAGATGGTTCTAAGCTCTCTTGTTTAACTCCTTTGCATAATATCTACCAAAACACATAGTTGTGTTTAGCAAAACATTTTTGAAGGTGATTTTTTTCCAAATCAGTCATAGCAAATAATTTTTTCTTTTTTGTTAGAGTAGAAAGACCATGGGATTTCAAGGTGTTGAGTCATGTTCTGCAGGCCTGGCTCAGCCCCTTACTCAGTGTATGCCCTTAGGCAAGTTATTTATCCTTTCTGAGCCTGTTTCTTGACCTAAAAATGCAGATAATTTGATACCATATTAACTCTGCTCTAACTCTGTTGGTTATAAGATGCTCTATCAATTTAATACAACTTTTTGGAGGGGGAGAAAAGTAGAAATTACATTAAATGAATATATTGATTGTAAGACACATCTTAATTTTAGAAACACAAAAATGAGCATCTTCAAATTGAGGAAATACGTTATCTACTTCAGGCCTCTGTTATATAAAACTCAGGAGAAATGTTTGTAAAGTGCCCAGTAAATAGACTGATAAATAATCTATTAAAAAATGATGCCTATCTTAATTTATTAGCTAATGATAATTCCTGCCATTACTGCCTTTTCTCCTTGGGCAGTAAGATTCTCATTTTAATTTGTAATTGAAATTGAAGTGTAACTGCTGGATTGTTATCCTACATTGCCCCCTTAAAAAGGCATCCTGACTTGAAACGGGAAGATAGGATCTCTCAATTTCTCTAATTTGTTTCCAGGAATTAAAAGAAATGGCACTGACCAAATCTGTGACCGGGCCTCGCAGTCGTATTTGCCAAGCTTTTGCTCATGTTTTCACATTTAACCCGATGACAACAACCCTAGCAGATTGATTTAAGAGTGTATTAGGGAAGAGAGACGTATACACATTTAACCGGAAGAGGAGTGAACTTGGTCTGTAGGCTGAGCAAGGAAGTAGCCTCAGGGTCTGCATTTAGAACTTCAGTGGCTGGTGTTTTGCTGTGTGCAGCTTTCACTCTTCCCTTAGCGGTCCCATCCACCTTAGACAGTTGTGCTGTGCTCTGCAGATAAGGTTAACCATTAGATCATAGCTTTGTTTTCTAGCTTTTTATTGGGTTACAGTATATAAGCAGGAAAGTGTGTGTGTTATATATTTATAGCTTGTCGAAGTTTCAAAAACTGAATACCTATACATAACCAGCACCCATATCAAGAAATAGGACATTACTGACACCCCCAGAATCTTCCTTCTGGGCACTACCCCCTCCAAGGATAACTAATGTCTTGACTTAATACGCTAGATTGTTTTCGCCCTTCTATTTACTTTCTATAAATGAAATTACACAGTGTATGTATTCTTTTGTGTTGAAGCTTCTTTTTAACAGTGTGAGAGTCACTCAGATTGTCGCATGTGGTTATAGATTGCTCATCCTCAGATTCTTTCATTGTGTGAACTGACCACCATTTATTTATCCATTCTGCTGGTCAGGGGCCTTTTGAGTAGTTTCCAGTTTTTGCTATAATGAATAGTGCTGCTGTGAACATTCCAGTACGTGTCTTGGTGAACACAGGTATGCATTTCTGTTGAGTATATACCTAGGAGAAGAACTGATGGCTTCTCCTAGCTCTTTTAAAGTCCTCAGTTGAGATTGAGTGTCTTTCATTTGTTTTTCTTGCTTACCTTGTGTGTCCAAAAAAAAAAGGCCACGCTTTGCTAGCATCAGCATTTGGCATATGGGCGCTCATCTTCTTTTTTTGTTTGGTGACCACTGTAGACTTTCTTAACTCCAAATCAACCAGTCCCTATTGTTTCGGAAAAATCTTTGTTTTTGGTACTTTAAGAACCCCGCTGTAGACTCTGGATGGCATTTGTCATTATTCGGTGTTTGTAAGTAGCAGATTGTTTGGGAGATTTTACTTCAAGGATGGCTGCCACCCGCTCTCTCAGTGGAAGCTGGTGGACTGGTAGCTAAAGAGCCATGTCTTATGCTTTTTGAAGGCCTTCTATGGGCTCCTTGCTTTTGTGAAGTGAGGAACTCTGGGCCGATTACCTAAACTCTAATGAAGGCCCAGCTCTCCTCATGAAAGCACTGGGATGACTATGGTTCTGGCCTTGGCATTGCTGTGGGGTTAACACGAGATGCTTCCCTCCATGCTCTTGTCTGTCTACAAGTCCCGGGCTTTGGCTCTGCGCCTGGCTACCTCTAAAGGGATCTGAGAAGGCTTTCCAGGGTGAAAAGTGCCTCCCCCACTGCCTGCCCTGAGAATAAAAGCTGTTTCCTCATCCTAACTATTTACTTACAGGAGGTAGGGTGGGGATTTACCTGGGTGCCTTCAATGGGGATTGCAGAAATATGCTACATTGTGTCTTTCTGAAGAGGTGACCTATGTCCTGGTGTTTTCAAATTATAATTTTAAAGTAATACAAAAATAACATTAAGTCTCTTAAATCAATGAAAGCAAGTATAACTCAAGGGTAAACTTAATGAACGGGTAAAATAAGTGAGGTATTTTGACAGACACTGATTTCCAAAGCACAGGTGCACACTGTGGCTAAAAATAGTGTCGTGTCGTCAGTGTTAGTGAAAAATGTAGTCTGAAAAGACTAAGGTTTCTCTTCCAAAATCAGCCTTGAGTAACTTAGAGGAACAGGAGAGTAGTTTAAAATGTGAATTTGTAAAAACCAGGTCAGTATGTGTTCCCTAAAAGATTATGATAATCATACACCCACACGTATATATTTTTTTAAGCACATTTTTAATCCACTTTCTTAATTCCAACCTTTTACAAAATCTGTGAGATGAGGAAGGCGAGAGTCATAGGACAAATGTCACTGGGTAGTTGAACACGCAGACCCAGAAAGGTCCAGACTTTCCCAAGGTCCTGTGGTTACTTAAGAGCGAAGGCCAGGGCTGGCTTCCTTCTGGTCTTGACTCCCAGTGCTTTTCAGAAGCAGAGAGAATCAGGGTTATACTAGTGTAGTAGTACTGAGAATTTCTACTAATTCTAATTGTACTGCACAATAATGATGTCACTTGTGAGAGGCAAAGTAAAAACAGGGGTTTAGTATCGTAAACCCTGGAGTCCACCTGTCTGGGATAAAATTCTAGCTCTACCACTCACTTACTAGCCGTGACTTAACCTTTTCTCATCTATAAAACCCACCTCCTGAGTCACTGCATGTAAATGAGCGGAATAGCACACTATTGTTTTTTTTTAAACTGTTAACCAAAGTAGGGCATGTATTAGTATATCATTCCTCTTTCACAGATGGAAATTGAGGCTCAGAGATGATAACTTGTAAGCTAAGACTTAACTCTAGGTCTTCTCAGATCATTTCCAGTGTTTTTCATTAGACTGTACTATTTCTATGATAAGGTTGTGAACAAACCAAAATTAATTTGAACCTCTTTTGTTTTACTGGTTTAAAAATATAGGGTTCTTGGAAAGTCACTTTTTGGGTATATAAAGTGCATTTTCCTTCGCCGGAAATTAAGCACTGAGGGTTACATTCCTATAGTATTTGGAGAATGTGACTTGCCAGCTGTGTGTCTGGCCAGGCCCCGCAAATCGTGTCCTCCATTCCAGCCACACCCCAATTGTTAGCAATATCCATTCGTTTATTGTGCTCTTGCAATTGTTTAGAACTTTGCCCTTGTTTTTCCAAGACCAAACTTCCCCTACCTTGTGCCCCACTCTTTGCTGCTTTGAACAACCTACACCTGTTGGGAACTCCTTGATGCAGGGGCCATCGCTTTCACGCTTGTGCAATAAGACACACAGCTCTCAAGCCAAAAACCAGCCTGCTTGCATTTCCAAAAGCCTAGAAAGGCCATCTGCTTCAACCACTATTATGGAACATTGTTCTGGAGGTACTAGCCAGTGAATTAGACAAGAATGGAATGAGATACAAAAGTTTATTTACAGATAGAGTTGTATACTTGGAAAGCCCAAGAGGCTCAGTTTTCAAATATTACAAACAATAAGATCATTCAGCTTTGCTGGTCGGGTATAAAAAGAGGTAGAAAGCAACAGTTCTATAGAAAACTATAAAAGCTATGAAAGACTTCTTCCTGGCTGGAAATTGTATCAATATCACAATGATATCATAAAGATGTCGATTCTAGTTCCTTTAGAAAAATAAAATATTGAGACTAGCCAAGAAAATTGTGACAAATGTGTACGAAAAATGGGAGGGGGATTATTTCATTATGTAACTTTACCAGATATTAAAACATTATAGAACTAAAAGTTATAATAGCTTGATATCAGTATAGGAATTCAATTCCAAACTGAATAGTCTAAAAGTAGGCCTTACTATAAAAGGGAATAAATATATGATAAAAGTAGCTTTTCAAATCAATGGAGAAAAGATGGGTTACTCTGTAAATAGCATTGGGAAAACTGAGTCTAGAAAAATAAACGTCGAATCTCTTCCTTACTCCTTAGATGAACCAGGAATGTACTACAGTAAAACCATGAACACTATATTCTTGGAGTGGAGAAATATCTTGTAAGCATGATAGATGATGGGTACATTTGCCTACATTAAATTAAACTTTTACATGTCAAAATACAGCAAAAATACCATAAAAGCCTAAGTCTAATGACACACCAGAAAATATTTGCAACACTGAGAAAGGGAAATTTCCATAATATATAAAGAAAAGCAAATCTAGCAGAAAAATGAAGAAAGGAAATGCTAAAGTTTTAAAAAATGTGATTGGTAAATGTAAAATACACTAATGGTTAGGGTGTAGAGAAAAGACAGCGCATATCTGTATTTTAGAAGGGAGTATAAATTGATTAAACCTTTTGGTAGGCATTTGGCATTAAATGTGACTATCTGTTGATCTAGTAGATTGGCTCACAGGATTTCATCCTACACATAAATGTTTAAAGAGGATATTCTAGAATATTCATTGTGGTATTGTAACAGTTTACATGAATTTTGGACATCCACATAAAAGGAATACTGTGTGGCCAATACAAATATTTTGTCAGGGGAATGAAACAAGATATAGAACAGTACAGGATAAGGAAGGATGAAAAGGACTGAATAATAGTAACACATAGTGTAATTATTTGAAAGAAATACAGGGGTGGGCCTGGTGGCATAATGGTTAAGTTTGTGCACTCTGCTTCAGCAGCCCAGGGTTCACAGGTTCAGATCCCAGGCGCGGACCTACACACCGCTGGTCAAGCCACGTTGTGGCAGCATCCCACATACAAAACAGAGAAAGGTTGGCACAGATGTTAGCTCAGCGACAATCTTCCTCAAGCAAAAAGAGGAGGATTGGCAACAGATGTTAGCTCAGGGCCAGTCTTCCTCAACAAAATAAATAAATAAAAGTTATTTTAAAGAAATAGAAGAAACTGCTCTGTTGCTAGAAAAAGAACTGGGAGACTGAGGGTGAGGAGAGAGGCTTACTTCTCCCTGTAGACTTTCCTGTAATTTTTTTTGATGGGGGGGAGGTTAGTATTGTAGTGTCATGTATCCACAATGCCTAAATAGCACAGTGGTTTGAATAAAAATTCCTATTTTACTTCTACCTTTTGACTGTAACATTTTTTGACAAAGTTTGTCATCTCAGTATATTCTTTTCCTAAATAGAGATATTACTGCACTGTTGGAAATTGTCTTTGTAATTCTTTTTTGACAGGCTTGACTGTATGCCTGGTCCCAGTAAAGACTAACCATATACTTCTAAAGTTTTGATTTTTTCCCAACTTGTTTCAAAATACTTATTGCTTATTTTATAGTGTCATTTTATTCCATTGATTTGCACACTGATATGATTGTAGCTGATGTGAACTTTTCTGCAGTTGTTTTCTTGAATTCTATTAGTGGTGTCCCTCTGCTGGCTGTCATCATTGAGGAGAATGTTTTGCAAGGGTTAATTTTGTTTAGTTAAAAGAAAAAAATTAATTAGGTTTAGAAAAACTAATGGCCGTGTTTCTTTTGATTTGGACAGATTTGGAGGCCAATCACTGCCACCTTTTATTTCCCTGTGGGTCCAGGAACTGGATTTCTTTATTTGGTCAATTTATATTTCTTGTATCAGTATTCCACACGACTCGAAACAGGTATGTTGTCCGTAGTTGTTTTAAGTATTGTTTCTGTCTAACTGACTAATCCATATGTTTACTTCTTGGAGGAATTTTGAGGGCAGTTAGTGTATATAAGGAAATGGCATAATGACTGGAAATGGTCAGTAGGTAGTAACTATGGCAGGATGTCCTCGGCACTTAGATTATTCCATTTTTAATCCTCCAAATATCATCATGAGGTGTAAGTAGCAGTGTCAGCATTTTATAGGTGAAAAAAATACAAGACCAGCGGTTTACCCATCTTGCCCATGTTCTTAGTGTCTGAGCTTTGTATCTCTCACTTAATTTGACATCTCACTCATTTCTGTCACACAACAGTCCTTGTCCTTTGATGCACAATTGGGCTGAAGTATATATATCTCCAGGGTGGGGATTGAAAAACACTGCTTCATGCAATTAAAAGCCTAGGCTTATTCTCTGTTACTGAAACAGTCGACTTTAAGATATATAGCCAGGATTGAATAATATAGTAGTTTATCAGATGTGACTACCTATATGATGCTATGAATAAGCTTTTTTATGAAAAATCTTTTCATAAAAATTTCTTGCTGAATTGTTATTTATTTCCTACAATACCTTATATGCTGTTCTGAGTTGCTTATACTGAGAAGCAATAAATTGATACTGCTGTGTCAAAATGTGAGTATAATTTTGTTAAGCCTAAATGATTTTGAAAAGTTGGCTGACTTCAAAGACTTTATAAACCTGTGGGCTGTAAGCTCAGGATGGAGGATTCTGAACCACCCTTTAAATCATAGTCAGTTGGAGAGTTGCGAATCAGTATCATGACTGTGGGGAAATAGAAGGATGGGCCTTTGGTGTCAAATATAATTTTTCCTTAAATTGGCATTTGCTACTAGGTGCTTTTTAAAAAGGAAGAAAGCATTATAGTAAAACAAAGTGTCAGATCATAGACTTCTACTACAGGAAACCTATTTCCATAGTTTTGTAGAGGAAGGAAAGGGGATTCAAGGAAGTAAAGTGACCTGTCTGAGGTGAAACTGACAAACAGGACTCTCACCACCATGTCAGGGGTTTGAACCTTAAATCTGTCACAATGTGTGATTTTCATGCTCCCTTGTCCTGGCTGGGCCTGATTATGATGTTGAATTGCTTAGCGATCTCCCCCTCTGATATAATTTAATTGAGGATAAGTTGTTAGGGTAGTTTTTTTTTTACATCAGTAGTGAACTCTAGATTAAACATGGGTGATCCATGACCCAATTTTTAAGAATTTTATTATGGAAAATTTTCAAACATATACAAAATAGAAAGGTTAATGAATCTTTTTTATTTTATCGAGATAAAATTCACATAACATAAAAACTCACTGTTTTGACCATTTTAGAATGTATGATTCAGTGGTCTTTAGTATATTTGCAATGTTATGCCACAATCACCATACCGATTTCAAGGCATTTTTCATCACCCCTCAAAAAACCCAAAGCAGTCACTCTCCATCCCCTCCCAGCCCCTGGCAACTACTCATCTGCTTTCTGTGTGTGTGGATTTGCCTGTTTGGAACATTTTATGAGTCCTTTTGTGACTGGCTTCTTTCACTTAGCATGACATTTTCGAAGTTCATCCATGTTGTAGCGTGTATCACTATGAACTCTTTTTAACCATTGCTCACCTTTAACCATTATCTTATACCCAGTCTTATTTTATCTATATCTGGGTCTGTCCCCCTGCCACTGATAATTTTAAGCATAATGTCAGACATGTATCATTTCATCCATAAATATTTTAATATTTACCTCTGAAACACAAGGACTTAAAAGATAATCATAATACTATTATTAAACCTAAATTACAATAATTCCATGATCACTTTTTATTTGTAAATTGTCTTCTCTTGGTTATTTAAAGTCTTTGAACCCATTTACTCATCCCTACTATCTGGTCAGGTAATGTAACTGATTTGTCATACCTGAATAGTGCTTAAGATAAATCTTTAGGATTACTAGGCCATTGATCTCTTTCATTAGTTCTAATTCTTAGAAGTTGCCCCCTATTCCTTACTATCCAATCACAGAGCATTTTGAAATTCTAGAGCCGAGAGGCATTTTTCAGAATAGTTTTATTGATATGTAATTCACATACCGTACAATTCCACCCATTTAAAGTGTATAATCCAGTGGATATTTGTAGAGTTGTGCAATCATTACTACAGTCAATTTTAGAACGTTTCATCGCCCCAAACAGAAACGCTGTACCCATTAGCATCCGCTCCCCATTTCTATTCAATCTCGTCCTCCCCCCTACCTCTTAGGCAACCGCTAATCTACTTTCTGCTTCTTTAGATTTGCCTATTCTGGACTTTTCTTATAAACAAGCTCTCACAATCTGTGATGTTTTGTGACTGGCTTCTTTCACTTAGCATAGTATTTTCAAGGTTCTTCCATGTAGCCTTTTGTATCGCCAAGTAAAACTCCATGGTATGAAATGATGACATTTTGTTTTTCCATTCTTCAGTGGATGGACATTTGACTTGTTTTTATTTTTGGCTGTTATGAACACGGCTGCTATGAACAGTCATGTAGAGAGCAACTTTTGAGATCTTTCCATTTAAATAAGATTTCACAGACAACACAACAGTGGTCTGGAGAGGTGGCGACATGCCCCAAAGGTCACAGAGCCGTTGGAGATAACACAGCTCCCACCGGAATCCAGTTTACTGGTTCCCTGTCATTTCTCCACCAGACAGCCTCAAGATAGCATTTTGACAAAATGTTTGCCACCTGCATATTTCCCTGCCTGGCTAAATTAAGTATATAGCAGTGTTGGCTTATTTATAAGGTTTCTGATTTGAACCGGAAGACTGCAATTTGAGACCAGTTAATTTGTAAATTCCCAGTTGGAAGCTTGACAAATAATAAAGTCCTATAGTTTATGTGATTACAAGATTTTAAGTATTCAATCTAAAGAATCCTTAGAAATCACAAAGCCAAAAGCACGTCAAAAGAAGCACAACTACTGGGGTGCCGGCCTGGTGGCGCAGCGGTTAAGTGCGCACCTTCTGCCTCTCGGTGGCCCAGGGTTTGCCGGTTCGGATCCTGGGTGCGGACGTGGCACTGCTTGGCAAACCATGCTGTCGTAGGCGTCCCACATATAAAGTAGAGGAAGATGGGCACGGATGTTAGCTCAGGGCCAGGCTTCCTCAGCAAAAAGAGGAGGATTGGCAGTAGTTAGCTCAGGGCTAATCTTCCTCAAAAAAAAAAAAACAAAAAACCCAAAAAAAGCACAACTATTGATAAAATTCAGAAATTGTGTTAGAATTTCAGCTCTGATTCATCATGGTGGTCTCCTACCATTAAGCATCCTTAATACTGTGGCTAAAATGTGTCTTTGAGGGAGAAATAAGGGAAAGAAGGAGAGACTTTTGCTAGAAACCTTTTTTCTTTTAGATAAACTTTTTTTCTCTCTTTCTGACACTTGTTAGGATAAGTGGTGCATAGGTCCACGCCTGGGATCTGAACCTGTGAACCTCAGGCCACCGAAGTGGAGCATCTGAACTTTGCCTTTGGGGCATGTTGCCACCTCTTCAGACCACTGTTGTCTTGTCTGTGCGACTTTGCCACCGGCCAGCCCAGGGTTTTTTTTTCAGTTGTCTATATGTCATGTCATTGCGATGGGGCAGAGGGGAGGGAAGGCGCCTTTGAGCTAGAGTGACCTTCCGGTCGTCGGTTTCTTTTCTCTGCCTCTCTTCTAATCTTCCAGCCGAAGGCGTGAGGAGTCATCCTTAGAAGGGAGAGCTGGGCTGTTGTTGATCATTCTGCCCAGCAGTAAGACAGAGGCTGGGGTATGGTATAGTGACCAGAGCGTAAGCTAGTTAGTAGACTTCACGCCGCTTTTAACAATCCACGTGACTTGGGTCATGTCATTTATTTCCTTATCTGTAAAAAGAGGGCATTGGTCTTTCCATTCCTACCTCGCAGACGTGGTATGAGGGTTAAGAGTCAAAGGCGCTGGAGAGTTTCAGTGTCCCCTACTCCCCTCCATCATTTTCCCTTGCTGGAATGTAGGCTCCTGGAAGATGGAGACTCAGTCTTCTCCGTCAACCCAGTGCTGGACTAAGTGGTAGAATGTGTATGTGTGTGTGTGTGATAATAATAATAACAACAACACAACAACTCTAAGTACCTCCCAGCGTAGTCATGGTGAGGGGACACAATGGCAGGCAAAACAGACATGGTTCCTCCCCTGACAGAGCTTGTGGTCTGGTGGAGGGAGAAGGGATTAACCAAGTAATCCCAAATATGTCATCAGGTCAGTCATGATGAGCGCCATGAAGGGCAGTCCGACAGGCTGCGAGGGTCTGCAGGGGGTGGGGTCTTGGTAGCTGTGGAATTGACTGTGCTCCCTTTGGGTCTGTTTGGCCTGTGCTGGTCAGAGCGTGGTACTTGCTGGAATTCAGTCAGGAGAGCACAGGCTAGCGTTGATACTCAGTGACTTCGTTCAGGGCCCTGTTGCAGACACGGTTTCAGATATTTAAGAAAATTTACTTTTTTTGTGGTTTTAAAATATTCTCACTTTTGCTTTCTCTGTAAGTTTTTCAAATGTTTCTCTACCTACAAGTTCATTTGTTCTGAAATTCTGAACCATGATGTTTGGCTTGTTTTCGTTTCCAGGAGCTTTCGATGGGAGGCCAGCCGACTATTTATTCATGCTCCTCTTCAACTGGATTTGCATCGTGGTATCCTTCAGTCTGTTGTTTTGGGCCAGAAATAAACCATTTTTTTTTCAGGTTTGGGGACATAGCCAGTATTCTGTACAACATTTCAAATTACAGTATTTGCTTCTTTGTTTACTATAGTTAATAATTAAGAATAATTAAAGTTCTTTTTAAAAGCTAGTAAGTCACAGAGCTCTTGAGTGATGCATCCTCTTGCTATTGCCTTTGTGGGATTTTTCCACATTTGGTCGAGTTTTATTACTGTTCCCCCCCTTGTTCCCAGCTCTCCGTGTTCTCATGTGTGACAGCTTGTTGGCTGCAGCACAAAGAGATTCTGTGCCATGAGACAGCTTTTGAAATCTGTGGTCCTTATCAGAAAATTAATTTACAGCCAACATCCTTTCCCGGCTTCATTGCCGTCCCTGTCTTGGGATCCTAAATAGCCATTCGGTCCCTCCCGAGGTACCCGGCTCCGGGAAAGGACACAGCCAGTCTCTGCTGTGTGTCAGCCGCAGTTGTGAGCAGCTGTCCAGCTGCGGACCATTACAGATGGTGAGGGCAGCACAGGGGCCTTGATGGCTCATGTCCTGTGCAGGGATGGTGAGCTCAAAACTGCTTTGAGGCTTAGCTGTCATTGAAACTTGGCGCAGAGCCAGCAAATGTGGCAGTTCGGATGCCCTTTCCCCTCCTTTAAGAGAAGAAGAAAGTAGTTTTGGACTTCAACCCTGCTCTGGGGCCCTGGGTAGAGTCATCATTTGTTTCTGAGGGCACAGGCGTCTCCATCTTCTAATCGAAGGAGAGCTGCTAAAATGCAGCGGTGAGGCAAGGAAAGAGGACACGAGGGGACCAAACTGAGTCATATGCCGAAGCGGTTAATTTCTGCCATTTCCTAGTCATCGTGTAGTCTGATAGGATATTCATAATGAAGATTATTAGATACCTTTTGTGTTCAGGGTTGCCTTAAGCAACCTGAGCTATAGAGAAGTGTGTTCCTTTGGAACACTGGATTCAGGTTAACTTTCACTAGGTGCAGAAGCCTTTGTCCATGTTTGATCTTTAACTTTATACACCAAGATCACTGGCTTAGCAATGGATATGCAAGTAAGTGTCCTTTGAAACTATCTGTCTGCCCTTTTATATGTTTCCGATTTACTGTTAGTGGCCTTTGACTGAAGTTTACATTGCATTAACTGTGTGGTTCCTTATGTGGTATTTTGAAATGATGGAATTATAGCTGTTTTTACTTTGAAGATCTTACATGAGTTATCTAAACCATTACTTTTCTTGCACATTTCTGGCTTCTTTATTATGTTTGAACATTGAGAATAATGGCTGTCTAGTATTTTCTATGCATGTATGTGGATATATATTTTTTGAAACTTGAGAGTATACGGTAAATAAAGCTTTATTGCCTACTTTTTTCAAGAAAACAGATTTCTGAATCCATCTAAAATAATATTGTGCTATATTTTATTATAGGATTTTGTAGCACACATTGTATGATCAATTAAATAAAAGGATCAGTGTATATTTCTGAGTTGAATTTCTTTTTCTTTTTGAATAGCCATGTGAGAATTTGTTTAGGGGGGAGGTGAAAAGAATAGCGGGGTCACGCAGCCTCTGAAGTGCTTCTGGAACCCTGTCTTGATGTGTTGCGTTCTTTTGCAGTTGCTGATGATTCCTCTGATCATGTCAGTACTTTATGTCTGGGCCCAGCTGAACAGAGATATGATTGTATCATTTTGGTTTGGAACCCGATTTAAGGTACTTCAACCTAGTTGGAAAAATTTCCTGTTCATTTGTCTCTGCAGAAATCCCTCTTCAGTCCAGAGGTGTACTTTCTGACTCGTCCAGAAGAGGTCACTGCAGAGCAGTATTGCATAGGCAAGCCCCTCCTCCCCTCAGTCCCTGTGTTTCTTCAGCCAACCCCGAGCCCTTTGCTGCCTCTTCTCACTCCCTCTGTACTTCAGGCCCCTCCGGTGTGTCCCTGAGTGATCTGCGTATGCATGTAGTAGAGGAGGGAGCTCACGTGGAACCTGCCCTTTTCAAATCTGTTCTTACCACTCCCTGTTATGCATTTTACACTCTAGCTAAAATGGATTGTTTTTTGCCCCCAACACTTCCCTTTGTGCCTTCTCCCACAATTTTCCACCTGTGACATCTTTTCCATTTTCTCCCTCCTGTAAATCCTACCTGGTCTTCCTGTGAGTTGGGACTGAACACATTTCCTGCGTCTCCTTCCTGGAGTTAGTCTTGCCTTTGGGCTCCTGCAGTACTTTTCCTCCTCTTCATGGCACTTGCTGCGTTCTGCCTTCAAGCTGTTTGTGGATAACCCTTTCTGTACTAGTCTGGGAAGTTTTTTTGCAGTTCCTTAGCTCTTGGTTTGATGTCTTAAATCTGGTAAGGGCTCAAATGTTGAATTTATCTGGAGAGCTGTCTTATTTGGGAGAGTTTTAGTTCAAGATATCAGTGTGTAATGAGATAAAAATACAAAGTAATTTTGTGAAATACGTAAAAGGAGAACCTAAAAAGATGGGATATTGTTAGTTTATTGGTAGCAATTTGCTGGTTGGAATCTTAATGTGATTCTGTCAAGGACCATGTTTTGATCGGCATCCGCAGGATACTCATCTCCTTTCTGAAGCTCTTTGTTAGTATTAATTCAGCAGGGCATGTATTGTATCTGAAAACTACAGGCAAAGTCCTCTGTCTCTCCAGTTACTAATATATGAATGAGTATAATTTTAGATAGGACGTTATAAGTACAGTAGGACTGATGCTAGATTGATCCGAGAAAGTTTTGCAGTGACTTTCCAAAGGATTTATAAAAAACCCTCAGTGTATCATTACGCACTCCAGCCCCCTAGCAACTGTATCCTCTTTAGGTGTGGTTATTCATGTTTGTGTATATTCTTTCCTAGGCCTGTTATTTACCTTGGGTTATCCTTGGATTCAACTATATCATCGGAGGCTCGTAAGTGATGTTAGATTTGTTTAATTAGAAATTAATCCTTGGAAGACTTCCATTATCCTTCATCTTCCTTCTCTAGTTAGTCTTTATAAAACTTTAAGAAATCTTGGTATGATGTGTTGGAACCTTATACGCAGGAAATAATTTTGTTTTGATGTAATTGATTAAATTGCAGGGCTTTAAGAACATTTAGCGCTGAATGATTGTTTTTTTATTAGCTTGTTACAGTATGCTTCCATATATGTGTTTTTGAATAAATATTTCTTTCTGAATTCAGAAAGCAATCCAGATTGAGCAAACGTAGACCTCATTTGTGTCTGAGCTGACTCTTCCAAGAACTGTGCATAAAATTACTGTTTTTATCCTTAAGGCATTTCCAGAATGCCTTGGAAGCTGCTCACTAGTCACAGAAATGCAAATTCTCAGATGGGAAATAGTTTTGTAAGTGGTTTGAAAGTATAGAAGTTTTGCCAAATAGGGTCAAATTTCTAGTGTGGAATTAGAACTGAGACTTAGGAAAACCTTTAATGCATCCAGTCAGAATTTTAGAAGGAGGGTATCAAAATGCAACTATTCCAAGAACTCCTGTTTCTTATACTATACAATATTTTTCATGATTTAATAGATTTTAATAATACTCATTCTTATTGCGTCTGACATATCTGCTCTGTATGGTCCTACCTTCTACTGCATATTGATAGGGAGAAATGAATGGATCGAGCGAACAGACTATGTTTAGATCAGAGCGAGTTCTGAGCTTGGTAGAGCTGCCCTGCCACCCACAGGGGCAGAGTCTGGGAGAGGTGGCGAATGTTGACCTGTCCCCGACAGAAATTGTGCTGCGGGCAAAGACAAAGAAGGATATGTACCAGTAATAGTGGGTCTAGAAAACCTTGAAGGGGCCTATATGTAAGCTAGGGGAAAAGTGGAGAAGGTCAGTGTTTACTTGAGGATTACAAGGTGACCCCTGTGATGTCTTACACTCAAGGACACAAGAGGCAAGGGAGAAGTGCTGTGGCTCTGGGAATAAGGGACAGGCCTTATTGTGCCTCCTTTCCTCACTCCCATGCCTCTCTCTTGCCTTCATACTTGCCCATGCTTTGCAAATACAGTATTTATGACTGAAAGCATTCAAAAACTTGCTTTATGACTTTCCCGAGTCTTGAGGCAAGAAGAAACAAAAAACAGTATTTTGAGGATGAGCTGGGGCTCGAAAGAGATGTCAGGGGCAGCTGGCCATGGAGAGCACAGACCCCATTGGTCCAGCAGGACTGATTTCCCTTCTCCCTCGGAATGCGTTTGCCACTCAGACTACAAAAGGGCTCATTGTGGGGCTGTCACAGACTCTGGGGCCCAGAAGTGGCCTACCATGAAGGATCTCTTTCCTGTGCTATTAGTGAAAACTTGCTGCATCCCACTTGACTGCTTGAATGTCCTTAAACTAATTTGTCTCTCTGTTTGCAGGGTCATCAATGAGTTAATCGGAAATCTTGTTGGACACCTTTATTTCTTCCTAATGTTCAGATACCCAATGGATTTGGGAGGAAGAAATTTTCTCTCCACACCTCAGTTTTTGTAAGTGGTTTTTCTCCTCTCATTTCATAGTCATTTTACTGCCCGTGTTCTTAAGCATCCTGATAAAAACTCCATAAGGGGTAGGATTTACCTCTATGTAAATATTTGTTAATAAATATATGTAGATGTTGCTCTGGTCACACAGGAACAGGAAGCCAGGGGTCGAAACCACAGCTCAGTCTTTTCATGGAGCCCTTGGGGCCAGGGGTGCTGACAGCTAGATTCAGGCATCACAGGCAGCATTTCAGCTGCTGAGCGGGCGGGGCACCTATACGCAGCTCCAGTATGCACAGCTTGGGCCAGGATTACAGGCGTCCAGGTTTACCTAAGAGTTTGGCTGAGGAGGGGGCGAGGGGGGTAAATTAGCTCATTAGTTAGCAATTTAAAACATTTTTATATTAAATATTACAGACCAGAATATTTATAGGACTTTTCCAAGTTAAAATGAGAGACTTGCTGTGTGTGGTCCCAGCCCCCTGCGGGTGTGTGCTTGTTCTTTCTCTCCTTGTGGGGTTTACTCAGGTGAGGAGGCCGAGGGCACAGCCTTGGTTCTGAGACAGCCTTGGGCTGGAGTCCCATTCCCCTCATTTATCAGTTTTGACTTGGCGAAAGTTACTTAATGAAACTTCCGAGTGTCAATTTGCAAGTCTGTAAGTTGCAGGGAACCCTGTCTCCCCGGATGGCGGGAGGTCAGGTATGCTGTTGGCAGCACAGTAGCGGGAGCTCAGTAAGTACCAGCTCTCAGCCCCGTTCCCAAAGTTGGGGCTGGAGTGGGATTTTACGAGCCAGATGAGGTGCCGACACACTTAAGCGTGTAAGCAGCATGACCATTCTGTCAGTGAAGCAAAAGGCTGTTGAAGAAGGGGCCAGTGAAATCACCATCTGGGTGTCGCAGCCTGCCTGACAATCACGCCTAATCTCAAGTTAGGGAGATGCAATAATAGCTTGCATTTAAAGGCTTAAAAAAAACCCAACCCTTTCACATCTTGCTCATTTTAATGTTTTGCAGTTTATCATTGTTCCAAGGGGTCCATGAGGGTGGTCAGACTTGAGTGGGCACCCCCTTTATCGGTTGGGGGTAGGTTTTTGAAAGACTTTTATTGTGAAATATAATAAACAGAGAAGTACAATATTGGTTTTTTTTTTTCTTTCTTTCTTTAAGAGCATAAAAAGAAACTTGTTTCTCTTCTGAGCCTCAAGTTGCCTTCAGGCTAAAAAAACAAATGACCAATCTGCTTTCTAATTATCAAAGGACACAGTGACAGCAGGCTTGGAGTTTTGATCTGGGTTTATCAAGTCGGATGGCAGATGCATCAATTAAAAAAAAAACTTGGTGCTTTGGGGGGCAGCCAACAGTTATTTTACTTTAAATGGCCATGTTCTGACTTTAATGGCTTGGAGATATTTCTCAATTGTGGGCAACAAAGTGTACAAGATTCTAGTGGCAAAATCAGAGCGTGCTGCAGCCCGCCTTCCACTTGGGCTTTCTCTGCTGGTGGAAGCCCTTCTGTTAAATTTTGCATAAAGATCAGATGACAAAATGTAGCTCCTTGCAAAAGCAGTAAGTGCTTTGAAATTACCATAAATTTTTGTTGATTATGTATAATTGGGTGTCTTTTTATACTAATTACTTGCATTTAATTTCACTATCCATTTAAGCAGTGGAGATGGCTTCCATATTGTCTTACATCAAGAGGCAAAGCAAGACAGCCCTAGCGTTGCCTTTTTTTAAGCGTTCTATTTTGTTACCTACTTTAGGGGAATGCTGTTATGCTAGAATGTCATGGAGGTTGAGAAACCAGTGCTTGAAAGTGTATTTTGATTTAAAGAGAATGCTATATTTGTTTAAAAAGGAAGATGTGAGTTAGAGAATTCTAAGATGTATCACTGCTCTGCATTCCATTTAGAAAAGCAGACAGATCCTCTTCTCTTCCATATGCAGTTATTCTGTTTAAAACGGGTTTGTTGGGGGCCGGCCCAGTGGCGCAGCTGTTAAGTTCACACGTCCAGCTCCGCTGGCCTGGGGTTTGCCAGGTTGGATCCCGAGTGTGGACCTATGCTCCGCTTGTCAAGCCATGCTGTGGCAGGCATCCCACATAAAATAGAGGAAGATGGGCATGGATGTTAGCTCAGGGCCAGTCTTCTTCAGCAAAAAGAGGAGGATTGGTGGCAAATGTTAGCTCAGGGCTAATCTTCCTCGGAAAAAAAAAATAAAAGGGAGTTTGTTGTTTTTTTGGGAGGGAGCATGAAGGTATCAGGGGTGATATAAACAAATGAGGGTTCCAGTCACTAAGGGCTGTCACCCAATCACGCTCTGTGTGTCCCTTCTGAAGCAGAAGTCCTGTGATGCAGTAAGTGGGGCAGGGGACAAGCTCCAGAGCCAGGCTGTCTGGGTTTGAAGCCTGACTGTTACTTTAGAAGATCTTGGCTCAGTCTTGCCTCAGTTTTCTTGTTTATAAAATGGGGTAATCGTAGTGCTCATCTCATAGGGTTGTTGTGAAGAGCCGGTGAATTATAAACACACAGTGCAAGGAAATGCCCCATGATACGGTTGCACTCTTTGGCTTTTCTCTGTGGGCGAGTCATCCCTCGTGGTCTATTCTCAGGGCCGTGAGCGCTTTAAACAGGAGGATCAGACCATGGGCTCTGCCTTCAAGCACAGTTTTAAACATTAGGATCTGATAAGTAGAACAGAGTTAAACGCATTTGCAGTTTACTAATGATCAAGGAAGGGAAACAGTTGGAAAAACTGTTGAGAACATAGACTTGGGTGTAAGTTTTCTTGGCTGTTTTGTGACTCTTAATTTGTTAATTTGTAAGATGGGAAATCAGCTGACCTTTCTGGGCCCCGGCTTTCCCACCATCTGTGAGGTGGAAAGAGTGCAGTCCGAGGGTACATTGTGAATATACTTTAAAATGTTCCCCGAACTCCAAGACATGAAGCTTCCTTCTCCCATCTCCCCTGTGGATGCTGTGGAACCCAGCTGCATCGTGGAGACACCATGCAGGGCCCAGACACACAGGCTGCGGGTCTGTCCCTTGAAAATGAATTTATATTGTACCCTTTGATCCAGTTTGATCTGTATTTAGATATACCAAATGCTGTATAGGTGGTTCTCTTTCTGGTTATGGGGCTCATGGGTATACTATTTTTGTTTCCATACTGTTTTGCATGAATTGCTTTTATTATCAGAAAAAAAATTGTTGGAGGGTGAAGTTAGCTGAAAGCTTAATAAATTTAAAAAACTTGAAAAGCGAGTGCCTTCTGTGGTCAGGACTTTGAGCTAAATGCTGAAAAGGCAAAGTTAAGTAAGACATTGTCCTCAGCCTTTCATTGGCCACAGACTAATATAATTCAGTGTGACAGATGCCATGGGAACAGCAGGAAAGGAAGATGGGCTCAGTGGTCAGGGAATTGAGTGGAACTGACTGTGTGCCCTTCTCTGCCCTTGTTTTCTCCTCTCTCTGCTCCAGGTACCACTGGCTGCCCAACAGGAGAGGAGGGGTATCAGGATTTGGTGTGCCCCCTGCTAACATGAGGCGAGCCGCCGATCAGAATGGCGGCGGCGGGAGACACAACTGGGGACAGGGCTTTCGACTTGGGGACCAGTGAAGGAGCGGCCTCTGGCCTGCCCACCACCGCTCTGCTCAGATGAAGTTTCCTGCCAGTGCTGGGTGTACTTAACAACCGAGTTCTAGCTAACGCTGTTGGACCCGACCCGCACTGAATGTAGTCTTTCAGTACAAGACACAGTTTTTTAACTCCTGAAGAAAAATATAAGTGTTCCTCGAGTTTCACGATTCTTGTTCAAGTCCTTACTGCTCTGAAGAACAAATGTCACCTCTGCAAATCTCAGAACCAACTATATTTTTTGGGGTCTTCTCTTCCTTTTCCATCTGAATAATGGGTTTTGGCAGGTCCTGGTCTGCTGGCACCAAGCTGAGCATCGGGTTGGGTCACCAAACCCTTGTTGAAGGGACTCTTACCTCTTTCTTGCACACGTCTCCTTCCTGCTTTTCCCTACTTCCAAATTTGCAGCTAGAGGAGGGTGCCCATAAAATGGTTCTGCTTTTAACAAGCTCTCTTATTTATTGACTTTTGCCAAGGCTTGGTCACAAAGAACTTGTTCACACCGTTTTTTACCCCTTTGGTGGCAGAACGGTACCCATAGGGGAGAAGACTGGAGCAGCAGATGAAGCGCGCTCTCAGCTTTTGGAATTGCTAGGACCTGATATCAGTTGCAACCATTTGCCACGTCTTCAGCCGTTTTTATTAAAATAACACCACTGAGTCAGCGAGGGCCGCAGATTGGTATTAATGGGGCATGAGCATTGTCGCTAGGCATTTTTTCCCTAAGTTGAGTGATCAAAACTGTTGTGGAGTTGCATCTTAGACTGGGGCTAGGGTTAAACTGTGCTGGGCATAATCCCTTTGCATCTCACGTGTGGGGCTTTCTGGCTTTGTGTGTGCCCAATGTAGTTGGGTTGTGTTGTCCTAGAAGGTTCCAGATCACATTTGCCACAGGGAGATGCTCTCTGAGTGGCACCTGGGTATCGATTCCATTTCATTCTCATTCTGGATATATGTTTATGGAGAAGAGTGGATGGGAAAACCTATTTAAATTGTCTGTTTTTAAATCCCCCTTCTCCCTTAATGGCTACACGCTTCTCTTAATTGTGAGGAAAGTGCAGCTCCTCTGTACGTAGATCCTATTTTAAGAGCTAATATAAGCACATCTAAGTGAATCACACAATTTTGGGTTGTAATGACTTTAGAATCATTTGTGGTTGAGGGTCCTTATTATTTTGAGTGGAGTGTACGAGTCACGAATGTACCTCAGTCCAGCTCAAATACCCACAACTCCTTGTCCCAGGTGGGCTTTTTCCATCAGAGCTAGGCTTGTCACCAAATAAAGTTTTTTGAAGGCTGTGATGTTTCACACAGTTCCATATTTTGTTTTTCTTCTGAAAGCAGACTGCTAGGGAGCAGTGTCGAGTGGCTGCCATGCTTTGAGTCACCTGAAAAGGCTTTGCACATTTTGGTCGATTTCTTTTCAGGAAGCATTGTGCACTAACAGGATGACTATTTCTGCCCCACTCTTAAACAGTGATGTGGGTTATCCTAGGAAGTGGGGCTTTGAAAACAGCTTATTTCTAATAAAGTTTGTGTGTACCTCTCCATGTTTAATTTATGTGATAACATAGGTGGGGAGAAGCTGAATCTTAACTGTCATACGTTCTGCTGTTGACCCGTGGCCACAATAAAATTGACTTGTAAAGTTTTAGAAGCCATTATTCCTGTTATGTCGCACATGCAGTCATTGTACTGGAGTGGGAACTCACTGTCTGTAAGAAGAATCTCATGGTAAGTGAGCCAGGCTCTCTCACACCCTCAGCAACTCCACTGCCCGAGAGCGGTGGTTTTTCCAAAGGTTATAAGTATTATTTAGAATTCTTCAGTTCAAGGCAAAGTGTTCATTAAATTCTTCCTCTTAAACGTGTTTAGGAAGCCGATGATTTTATTAAGCTCATCTGGATTACCTATATTTTTGGAATCATTTTAGCTAAGCAAGCTATTTGAGATTTGATTGAGCAAGGCGAGACATGCCAGTGGATTCTCTTTATGAATGAAAAAAAAAATCCTTATTTTGTATAGAGAAATTACCTTTTTGTAACATCCTTTTTATTGGTAAAAATTGTGAATTAAAATGTACAAGTTGACGGTTGTCTGTCGTAAATTTCCACATTCCTACTCTGCCTCCTCTTTTAGATACCGCGTACTTTATGTAACCAGTCTTGGGCGTTTAGGAGTGTCCAGTATTTGTTGCTATTATAATGACACAGCAAACATTTTTGCAGGATTCATTCTCGAAGCAGAATTTCTGGATTCTCATTTTAATGAAGCAGGATGTGTCAGAATATTGGATTGGGAGTCATATTTGATTGTGGCGTGTTTTATGGCATTTCTGTGGCTTTCACCCATGGGTCTGAGTCCTGGAACCCTCCAGAATTAAGTTCCCTTGCCATATAAGAACCCACAGAGACTGGAAGGCAGATGCCATGACATCCCTGAGCCTTTTTTACTTGAGGGTGAACCACCCAAGTTTGTATCCCAGGCCTTAGGCAGGCCCTCTTCATTTATCACAAGGTGGACCCATGAGATGGAGCAGGGCTGTGCACCTTCTGTTACTGGAGAAATACTGGGAAAATAGCAACGCGATCCTGCTTATTTCAGAGGATGGCACATTGCCAGTGTCGTCATGATCTAAGCTGTTTTCTGAGTAACACTGACTTCATAGATGATGTTGCAGTTGCCAACTGCTTCATTCGTAGGCCACTCTGTCTCTGGGGTCCCTTCCCCTTTTAAATTTTCAGCATTAACTTAGTAACAAGGCTTAACCCTTGGGAAAACGTTCTCTCTGCTTCGACTTTTCACTCTCCATGTCTTAAAAGACTGGGCTGAGAAAACGTGTGCTTCGTGGCAGTTTACTGGTTTGCTTTCTAGAGTGGCTCTGGAGATTTTAATTGGAATTGGGGGGAATGTCATGTCATGTCATGTCATTCCTTATGTGTATGGTTTACGCCCAGAATGCATTTCCATATGCTCCCCTTAGTCGCATGCCTCTGTTCCTTAGGGTGGAGTCCCCTTCTTAGCACACCTGGCTGTCGAACTTCATTGTGACAGGTACTTTACAAATAAGTCTCCAAAGTATGGTTTCCCCGTCCAGCTATACCTGAGAATCACTTGGGGCTTTTAAAAAATGCACATTTCTTGCATCATTCCCACTCTGCTTATTTAAAGTTCCCAGTGATTCTGATACTCAACAGGGTTTGGGAACCAATGTTTAAACGAACTTGTGAATTAGGTAGTAGTATGCCCATTTCCAAGGTAAGGAAACTTAAGACTCAGAGAGGTTAAGTGGCTTAAGATCAAGCAGCTAGAAAGTGCAAAGATAAGCTAGAACCTGACTCTGAGTTAAGACGTCTGCTGGGGCTTTGCAGTTGAGGAAGCCAAAGTTCAGAGTCTGGCATCAAGTGGCAAAAAGAGATTCTTTTCTTGCCAAGCTGAAGGCAAGCCAGAACGTTTGGAAACATTAGTGGAAGGTATAAATTAGCTGTCTATCATCCTAGGGGGAATTGCCTTGTGGCCTGGAAAGAAAGAAAACATTTATATATATAAATATAAAATGTAACTAGTTCTCTATTGAGTGGCGCCTGGGCCGATGCAAATGGAACCTGAACTCTGTCTTCTGGCTGTGTTCTCTCTCTTGAGGCAGACAGCCCGGTCCGCTGTAGGGACTCATATTTGTCGAAGAGGGGAACAAGAATTGTAATTAATTTGATAAACTGCTAGAATAGAAATAAGTAAAAAATTGTCTTGGACAGAGGGGTTACGTCTTGGAAGATCAATGGGAAGTTCCAGGCTGAGCTGGGGAACGTGTGGACAATGGAGAACCATTGAAAGCTTTTCACATTTGTTCTTTGAAAAGTAACTGGCTGCAGCAGGGGGAGTGGGGAGAGGGCTGGGGGAGGAGAAACTGCAGACCAGATGACTGAGTTTTGAGTGGTTGCTGTGTGCAGGTGTAAGGCTAGGGTTGACCTAAGCATGGCGGTGGGATTGGGGGCTGGATGGGAGAGACCTCTGTGAGAGAATTGCTGGGCCTTAATGAGGAAGAGGCAGGCTTATGAGTAGGGGTTTCCATTGGACGTCAGGACCCGATATAAGTTTCCCATAGAAACACAGCTGGTTAAAATGCTATTTGTGGGTATTGTTGGTGCCACACATTGTAGATAATTGGGAGCTGGTGGACCAGCCTGAAAACATAGCCACTATTTGTAAGTGTATTTCTGTGGAAAAATACAGTATGAATGCTAAACCCATGAACTTGAAAATGAACTTTAGAACATGATCTCTTCCTAAATTGGGGACAGCTTTGCAGAAGGCCACAGTGAAAGAGAAACCATTCTCTTGATGCCTGTTGCCCACTCTGTCACCATCCTTCAGGTCCCTCCCAGCTTACACATCGTTTTGTGAAGGAGAGCTTATCTAGATTTGTAGCCGAAGTAGAACATCTTCCCATGTGGTCCACTGGCACCCTGATCTCTGCTTTGCGGCACTCCTCCACCCATAACCATTTGCTTAACGTCTCTCTCCTGTGCTCTGTTGGCATCATGAAGATAGTGACTGCCTCTTACTCACAGCTGTATTCCCAGTACGTTGCACTGTGCTTGCCACATACACGTACTTATGTGTTTGTTGCACTGGACTGAAATTTGGACCAGGTAATGGGTTGGGTAGGAATTTGGTCTGTTTAGGGAGAGAGCTAATGGCTTGGTCTCCTAGGAGCCTTATGGGATTTTTCGTTTATATGGGGTCATCATCGTCCCCTTAAAAAGGATGTTAGGAGAGGCTGCAGATATCAGGAAGAATGGATTCAAAATTAAGATACTTGGGGAAAAAAGCAGTTTCCATCTACAATGCATAATATCTGCTGATGGGTGTGAGGACTTGGGGTGACTGGCAACAGGAGACTGGTATAGACTGAAGGCAGGCAAGAACATTTGGGAAGATTAATTGAAGGAAGAAATTTAGCTTTCTCGCCCCTGCGGAATTCCCCCGTGGCCCGTATAAATGCATATGCATTTAGAAGGAGAGAAACCCCTGCCATGTCATCGGGGCCAGAGAGACCCACAGGGAATGTGGAACTGAATTTAGGCACAAGGCTCAAGGATCACTTAGGAAGTGTTTACTAAGCCCGTTTGTCATTTCAAGCCTTACCTGATCCGGGTGAATTTGATCCCTTTCTCTTCTCTGTCAGTGTCTTGGCCTTTCCCTGAGGGCTGGTGCTGATACAGTGCATGTCCTTGTTAATTAAAGGTAACCGCTGTTAACTCAAGGGAGACTTCGGCTTCTGATTGAGGCTGTCCTGGTAGGGAAGGAGTAAACCTGGCTTTTAGGCTGTAAGATGCGGCTGTCCTCACAGCTAGGCCCTCGTCACCTGGAGGTGCCCGCTCCTCCTACTGGAGAGGAGGGATTGGCACTTCTCGTGATCACTTCCGTCAGTTAGGGTTCTTTGCTTGCAGGCACCCGAAAAGGACTCTGGCTAACTTCAGCAAAAGGGACTTTATTAAAAGGACGTACAACATCTCCCAGATTCCAAGGGCCTGCTGAGAAGTCTGACATGGAGGGGGTCCCGGGGATCCAGGAGCAGGAACTGACCTTACCACATCTGCTGGATTAAGTTAGCTCCACCTTCTCTTCTCGTCTCACATCTCTCCCTTTAGGACTGAACTCCCAGGCCTTATTGTTGGTAGGAATTCATGGGAAAACATTTGACTGACAGTCCCATTTAGACCACCTGTAACTGGGGAGAGTTAATTTTCCAAAAGCAAAGCAAAGTGCTGTTGCTTCATAAGAAGGGGAAAGAAGATGCTGGATGCCATAAAGCCCCAGCTGGCCCCCCAGGTGCATGTAAATGACCTGTATAGCCTCCTGGAGGAGCCTCTGGCTTTGCCTCATTCCAACCCGGCAACAGGACACTATTTCTTCCCATCTCTTCCCTCAAGCTCATCTACAGAGCATTATTAGCAAGCGGTGTAGATTTTGCTGAAGATTTTGCGGGGAGAGCGTAGGAAGGTTGACGTTGAACATCACCGGGAGAGTGACCCCCTACACTTCTTGAGAGCGGGGACTGTGTCTGCCCACCGTCACATCCCCAGTACCTAGCACAAAGCTTGGCATGCATAGTCTTCTTGAGATAAATATTTGTTGAAGGAATAATCCATTTCATAACCTAAATTCTCTTTAGCTATCAACTGGCTCCTTGCATTTCTCTCCAACCTTTCCTCATGTGGCTTTTCCAGTCCCCTCTAATGTCTTGGTCAATTTAACTCTGGCTCCAAACCTCTATACTCAGCAAAATAAAAGCCTTGCAGTTAATCAGACCTACCCACCTGAGAAAGGCTTGTCAAAGTTATTCACCAGATACAAAGCAAGACTCTAGGTCAGTGAAGCAGGGGAATTCTGCCGCTAAAAGTATAAGATTATTTCATTATGTACATACTCCCCAAGATTCTGATATGTCCTCTCTAGTGGGTTGAATAGAGGCCCCCCCAAAATATAGGTCCATGTCCTAATTCCTAGAACCTGTGAATTTGGCCTTATTTGAAAAAAGGGTCTTTGCAGATGTGATTAAGTTAGGGATCTTGAGATAAGATCATCCTGGCTTATCCAGGTAGTCCCTGAATCCAAGGACAAGTGTCCTGTAGGAGGCACATGGGGGCTGTGTAACAGACAGGAGAGTAGAAGACAGACGCAAGCAAGAGAAGCTGATGTGAAGACAGAGGCCGAGACTGGAGCGATGTGACCACAAGCCAAGGAATTGCCTGACGCCACCAGAAGCTGGAAGAGGCAAGGAGCAGAGTCTCCCCAGAGATTTGGAGGAAGTGTGGTCCTGCCGACACCTTGATTTTGGACTTCTGGCCTCCAGAACTGCGAAAGAACAACTTCGATTTTTTTATGCCATCAAGTTTGTGGGGATTTGTTACTGCAGGCACAGGAAGTTAGTCACCCCTAAAGTACAGTAATAACCCCCCAACTCTCTTCTCTCACTTCCTTAAATGCAGTGTGCCCCTGTCAGCCTCTCACCCCTGGAACACGCAGCTCTGTCTCTGGCCCGGCAAGGGGAATTGGCAGTTATATTTCCTCCCCGCACGTGAGC